TGAGCAATTTATACTGTGAAGTACATTTTTAAAAGGATGTACTAGCTCTTTGATGTGGAGAGAAATGGGTATTCCATGCACTGCTCGCGATTTGGTGAGAGTTAGTATAAAAATTAAAACAATGCAGAAAGCTAGACGTATGCTGAACTGATTCTCAGATGGTAATCTTTTATCAAAATTTCAAATTGAATGAAATATCTAAACTTGATTGGAGTCGAAACATTTGGAGATAGATCACTGCAGTAGTCGAAACATTTCATTCATATACTAGACAAATACTGACTACAAATGAATATTTTCTTCCACCAGCATAAGTTTGGTAGTTCTTTTTAAAAAAAATCTTCAAAGAATTGACTGCAAAGTGTTAGAATATATTGAAAATCTCTTGGGAAACCTTTATTTTTTTTTATAGTTTAAATAATGTAACGTCAATTGAATTGAGATACATAGGCCTTCAAGAACGGACCTCAAACTCTACATAGATATAGTTTACTTATAGTGTGGTAGTTTAGTTTTTTCCTTACCTTAACGCTATAATGGTTGTACGCTTTACTTGGTTCCATGTACTCTTTCCCAGCGAACTGTTCAGATGAAATCAGTTGACAGGCGTGGAGACCGTTAGATCGAGGAGCGATTTTAAAATTGGTTGAACGGCACCAATGGACACCCATGCATGCGAACACACATTCCATGTTATCAGCAACATACTTGGTTTTCTTCATTGCTCCTTTTGGAAGGTTAAGCTTTTGAGCAGGATAAAAGTCAAAAAGAAGACCTTTTTCCCTGTCGTAGTTTGGAGGGTAAGCCGAATGGCAAGARCTGTAGTCCGCGACATTCAAAAGAAACATGGCAAAGGCTGATAGTCTTAGCAAGAAAGACATTCTTGYTCGTTCTTTCACAAGGTTGTTTGAAGTGGCTTTGCTCTTTCAAGTGACTTTGTATATCAGAAGAGTCTAAACGGACTGAGTGTCAAAAAGGGAATCTCGGGCGTGTTTATTTGTAAGGATTGTAAAAGAACACCAGCTGTTTTCAAATGGAACTCACAAAGAGCTATATTTATAAACGCAATTAACTGATTATTGTGAATGACAAACAATTTGCAAATTTAATGATTTTCTATTATTGTTAAAAAATTTAAACCTGACACAAGTATTTACCCTTGAAATTGACTTAGTAAATTATTTGGTAAATAAAGAAATTTGAAAAACAAATATCAATATAGCATTGAAAACCTCACAGAAGTGGTCTAAAATTCCCGGTACTGCATGTATGTCAAAAATAATTTAATTCTGAGGAATAATCGAGAATGAAAAACAAGAATTGAACCAGGGCAGAAAATAAAACAGCATAATGGCCGAGATTTACACGGCTGCTTTATTGTTAGAAGGACATGATGTGCTCTCTTTGAATAGTTCATGGAAGACTTCTGCGATTTACTTGAAAATTGCTGATTATGCGTGTTTGTAATTATTACGTGTTTTTTATAAATGAAAATCACGAAGAGTCTATCTATAAACGTAATATAGGAGAGTATGGTATTTCAGTTTATTATCTTGAAGGTCTACCAGGCCCTTGTGTCAATTTTTACGCAACGTTTCGTTCTTGTTTGGGATTCTTTGTTTTCGGATTTCATTTTCTCTCCTTTTTCGATTCCTAAGTACCTAAGTTTCATTTCGTCCCGGAGACTTATTTTTGGAAAACTTTAATGGACTCGGACACCAATTGTGACATCTTTATTAATTCAATATTTGTCTTCTAATTTCGTGTTTACCTAGACCTTTTTCAAACCAATATTGAGAATAAATATAAGGTATTCTAAAATATTTAGGATACTATGTGCGCTGTGATTGGTCGAAAACCATGTTTGATTTAAGAAATATAAAACGGCGCGCGTGTCTCTGTCCTCTGATATAAACACGGTGGGAGTTCGAAAAACACGAGAGAAGCAAGCTTAGGAACACGAGCGTAGCGAGTGTTTCTCTTGCTTCTCGAGTGTTTTTAAACTCCCATCGTGTTTATATCAGAGGACATAGACACAAGCGGCCGTTTTATATTTCTTTTATAAAATTTTTCGAGCGAAAATAAAATTTTGACGGTAAGCCGTGTCTCTGGCCTCTGATATAAACACGGTCGTCAGGCAATCAGAGCGCGCGTTATATATCAAAAATTTTATAATACCGTATCAAAACACGCTCGCGCGCGTCAAAAATTTCTTTTTTCCCGCCGTTTGCATTTGTTGTTGTTATCATTCATTTTCAATAACAATGAACGAAGAAATGCCTATTTATGATGTCCTCTGGGATGATATCCCAGAAGAAGAGCTATCAAACGTTTTAGAAGCTACAGAAGCTGCAGAAGCTACTTTGAGATTTGCAGAGATAGACGACAGCCACATAGACAAAATTCTTGGCAACTCAGTCAAAAAAAACACAAAGTCAGAATTCTTTTAATTTTAGAAAAGAAATAAAAGACGAAATTCCGTGTTTGATACTCTGACCAAAACACTTGGGATGTAGGGAGAGCACTCGAAAAGCTGAAAACCACTCCGCTACGCGTCGTGGTTGCCTACGCTTCTCTCGTGCTCTCCCTACATCCCGCGTGTTTTGATCAGAGTATCAAACACGGAATTTCGTCTTTTATTCCTTAATTTGTAAAGCCTTGTAAAACACTGCACCCACTTGTCATTGTCACGATCTTTGGTACTGAAGGCCATATTACGATGCCAGGACAGGGAATCACCTGCAGTACCTGAAATGCAGGAAACACAGCTTCGTACCAATATTTTGTGTGTGTGTTTTTTATTTGTAATATTGTTAACGTTGTTGTTTATTTTTTATATCTCTTTTATCATTGCGGGGCACAGAAATACTGCAGTTTTTTTATTTTTGGCGTTTTTTTCGTGCAACTTGTGTCGCGCAAAAAAATGTTGCATGATGCCATGTCACACTAGCAAAATTCCGTTGCAACTTAGCTCKMRCAMAAAMATGTTCAAGTTGCACGCGTAAATTGAAAATGTACGATCATCTCACTTTCTGTCTCGTTTTCTTCTTCAAAATTATCGCTTTCGCCAAAGATGGCGTCGGGCATCTTTGCTGATTATTACAACAAGTGACAACAGGACAGATTCTCGCTTTATTATGGATTCGTGCGCCCACAGGTAGCCCAAGCACTGGGCTTGACAGTGAAAAACGAAAAGTTCAATAAAAGTGGTAAAACTGAATAGAATTATTCATAGTGTTCTTCTTATTTTTCTCAACACCCCTGTGAAGTTTCAGCTCAATATGATAAACTTTCCCCT